TAGGGTCAAATATTATACCATAGTGAATATTTCTTATTGTTTGATTTTATTAACCTGTCAATTCCATACTGATTATACGGTCAGTGCACAGAATATATCAATATTCGATAAATGTTCGGTAAATACCGTGAGATGTACGCAGTGAGTTGTGATTAAATGCATCATGTTTCTATGAATTAGTTACACTGGCCGTTATAGCGCAATAGGGTAAACTACCGGTATATAATATCAAAATGTCCTAGATGTTGTAAGATCGAGACAGCGTATGTCCAAGGTTTTTTTCTTATTCATAACCATTTTCAACATTTTTTAAGTTATGGTTGTTCCTTCTGTTTTTAATATATGCTTTGCAATTTTTTGGTAAATACTATACTTTTGTATATTTATAAGATTGTTCAAGAATGCATTCGGATTAAAATCGATAAATGTGATTTGATTTCAGTGCCGTAAAACACAATACAAAACGTGACAATTCTATGTTTCTTAGTTGTTTCATATCCGTGTAGACAATTTTGCAAACGCTTGACAATTTTCATTAAAATATACTTAAATATAAAGAAAGCATATGCCTCAAAAGAATGTCAAAAAAAGGAGTCGAACCTCGACCTCTCAAACATTAGGTAAACACTTAACCAACTGTGTTATTGCGGATGTTACTAGCACCTATATAAAGCTAGTGAGTTTTCCAAACATCAGTTATACACTCCATATTAATTCTCGTAAAATAAACGGACTAAACCGAAGTGGGATTGAATATTTAAATGAGTGCTATAATGTATTCATAATTGACAGGTCAATAAAATCAGACTATACTTGAAAAATTAAAGCATAATTAGTATATTTTATAAGCGTTGTTTTTTATATGCATGTATACAGTATCAAATAAATGTTCATATTTTGTATTCTTGTCATTCTGGTATCTTTCTTGTCTCAAAAATTTGCAACCAATGCATTAAATTCATTTAATTTCATTCAATAACATGATGCAAGTATATAATATTAGTCTTTGTTTACGAAACTATTTCAGACAAAGTTCCTTTATATCTATTTAATATTCATATTCGGTATCTTCGTTCTAAATCTGTCAATCTTTACAGTACTGTATAGCGAGTCACAGTAACTAAATAACTTAGCTAATTTAAACTGTCTTCTATGTTAAAACAAGGTTTCATTTAAAGTTATAGTTTGAAATATCTATTTTTATCACATAAACCGCGGCGCAGGAGTGTAATAAAGCCATTTAATAAAAACGATATTACACTAGTGTAATAACACTTTGATGTGACGTCATTTGCGCTATATATAAACATAGCGTGAAAGCGCGCTAATGTTAGCGTTACACTATAGGCGCGTCATTGAAAAATTACTCATTTTAACAGTTTACTGTTCTTATTATATATATGTGATAAATAGAATATTATATTCGTATAGATTCAATACTAAATTTATTGAACTTGTTGAACAAAACAATATTATGCTCGCCAAAGGCTCGCATAATATGAATTTATTCAACTCGTTCAATAAATTTAGTATTAAACTACACTCATTCAATATCCTCTATCTATACTTTTGTGAGCTATTTTATATACTGTTTAAATAGTAACGTTCATGTTCGTCATTCTCGTTCATATTCGGGTAACTTTTTGGTCTACAACCAAAAGATCAGAATTTATTTTCTTTCATTAAAATACATATGATACAAGTAATTAATAGTCTGTGTTGACGTAAGTAATCCCATAAGAGCTGATTTTAAGAAAATAATATTCATATTCGGTACTCCCGTTCATATTCGCGAATATGAATTTATATTCGTTATTTAGTCATACCATTCAAAGCAGTCCATTATGACAGAAGCTTTCCTAGCAAAATGTTTGCGGAACTCAAGAGGCATTGTGGTCTGCAGTTCTTCTCTTTCTGGCCAATATATGAAATGTTTCATTCTAACAATCATAATATGTATAACCAAAGTAAATATTCTTGATAGTGTGGAGGATGAAGTCTTAAATCTATATGCCAAATCTTACAATGGGAAATTATGTTTCAGTCTCATAAGAGTGAGCAACACTCTCTCAAATGCCTCATTTTTAGACACATATTCTATTTCATATTAAGAAATGGTGACACAAAATCCATAACCACCATCCAAGTCAGATAATTTGGAAGGCCTGTATAATATTTTACTTTCTCATAATCTTCTTTGAAACTTTCTTGCTACATGTAGAATAGGTTCAGTTCTGATTTTAAAGCCTCATTCTCCGACAACACTCTCTGAATTTCAGTATTATTATTTAATGCTTTCCAGTGTTTTATTGTAATATATCATATGATTATATTCTGATAAACGGGCACTAGTGAAATTTATAAAGTATAATTTTCACTGTAGCCGGACTATATATCTGAATGCAGATAAAAAGAAAATCATTAAACTAAATGGAATAACAGGCAGAAATAAATGCTGTCATGCGTAAATTTTGCTTCTTTAGGGAAATAAAGTCGATGTCATCATACATAATGTTAAAAATGTAACAAAATTAGATAAGTGTAACAGACCTATACTTCAAAATTGATGATGTGACGTCATGATGTGATGACGTCACAAGGGAGAATGCGTGACGTTACATGGCGAAATTAGTAAAAAGTACTTAATATCACTTAAAAACCATGAAATAAAACGAAAATTTATTTGTTTTACAGTAAACTCCGCTTATAACGAACTCATTGGGACATTCAAAATCTGTTCCTTATATCCGGAGTTCCTTGTAAGCATATAGCGAATTAGTTCCTTGTATCAGGAGTTTTTATAGCGAACAGATTTACATATAACGAACTGATTGTTAAACATCATCCGCCATTTTTAAGAGCATTTGATTAAGAATAGTCATTTATTTCTTTTTTAGACACAATACCCGGAAGCGTAAATTTTGGAATTTGCTTGAGTTAGAATCAACCAACTTTACAGGAATAATGATCAACATAATTAAATTACAGGAATTAGGAAATGATCAACATCACTGTGAAGCTATGCAACTGGGACTTTGCATACGGATTTTTTCATTTTTGTTAGAGTTATTGCCCTTGACTTACAGTAGTATAAATTTGCAATTTTCAACTTATTCATGCATACATTAAAAAGTATTTGATTTGTAGGCCTGAAAGTTTACAAAAATGTTGGTCAGCATGTGTTCTTATGCACCTTGGGGTTTGCTTGTGGATTTATTCAGTATTTGTAAAGGTCTTGCCCTTTACTTAGTAAAATACTTTTAGTTTTCAACTTGTGACACATGTAGTCCAAAAATATTCGACCTAGAGTCATAAAATTTCTTTTCATTTCAATCAAGCATACTTTGAAGTTTTATATGGATTATGTTTGCAAGCATGCATGATTATGTTGAAAACCGATAATTATTTTAATCGAGCAAAACTATTAAAGAAAAGAAATTATAGAATAAAAGGAATTACCGTTTTATCTTTGTGACAAGAACTCAAGCTAAACATATCTTAAATAGAAAACTATTACATACTTCTATACAAATTCATTTTCATATATTGAATAACATACAACAATAAACGGTACATTCCGCGAGTTTTATTCCGTGCCAATAAAAACGAAAGTTGTCAAAGCGGGATATATTGACGAATAGCCGATATTTGGAGTTCGTTGTAAAAGTGTAATTTAATGCACTTTTAACTAAATTGGGACTAAGAAATGAGTTCCTTATATTGCGATAATTCCTTATAACCGTGTTCGCTATAACCGTATATTTTTATATTAAATAAAGAAGGGCAAAATTCGGGCCAAAATAAATTGTTCCTTATAACCGGAAGTTCGCTATAACCGTGTTCGCTATAAGTGAAGTTTACTGTACATACAAGATTGAAATATATTTCATTGTGAAGGTACACCAGCTATTTTATTTTCACTTGTTGCTATGCCACTTGTGAAAATATTGCATCTGGTGTTTACTCGGTGAAATTATATTTCAATCTTACATGCAAAACAAACAAATATCCTCTAAATTTTACTATCTCATTCATTTTATGTTTCTTGATCATTTTCCTTACATGGTTGTAAAGACTTCCCAGGGCCTTCTGTTTTCCCTTTCCAAGTAAATGTACATGTCTCTGTTTCTACTTCATTGAATTCAAAAATTACTGATTCGCTGGACAATGTTACGATGTCAGTGTGTCACAATGTGTTGTAAATTTAAATTGAAATAAATGAACTCTAAATTACATTTTACTATCCGTTTCAATCTTTTTTTTTTCTTCAACACTGATTTTGTTGGAGTCATAGCACCATCTAAATTAAGCGTAGGATCTGAGTGATGATACATAGGTGCAGGTTTTCCTGAAACAGTCACATATTCAAAAATTTAGTTTCAAAAATAACATGAGAAATAGGTTTTCATATGCATCTGGATCTATTATTTAATGTAAGACAGAATTGTTGATGTCGGTGATGACGGCACGTTGGGCCAACTGTTGTATGTACATATCGCTCCAGATTTACCTTACATTTCCTTTTTTTATTCAATAATTTTATATTAGCAGAAATAAATAACACGAAGCTTCATATATTATTTTATATGATTTGACAAACCTTTCAGGAAATGATTGGAGCAAATTTTAGAAAACTTCGTCGGTGCATCTTTTTGACTTATGTTAGAAATCCACAGTATTCGTCTTCGTAAATTCTCCTTCATTTTATCTGACAGACGGAATTGAATAAAATCCCAAGCTACACCTTTGGTTTGCACGATTACTGCAACCATTAACCGAACAAGAAATTACCATTTCTGTTCTAAATTTAGATTGTTTACATATAGGTCCATTGAACTGTATTGTTTGCCAATCAAAATGGTGGCCACGGTAGACTGCGCAACGGATGATGGGAAGTCAAGACGTCACATGAAAACTATCTACAAATAACAGGCCAGACTGCATATCTATAAACTCTGGCCAGACAACTGGTCTCTAATTGGAGATTCTTCATTGAAATTTCAATCAGTAGCAATGTATGTTTTTAACATGAATTGCGCACAGTTTAGGTTAAAAACTATGACAAAATAAATATCTTTCACCTGTATCCACACAAAACCAAAGTCATAGTAGAGTAAATTATTTGAACCACTGCTCAGGTACCAGAATGGTGGTCTAATTATGTTGGTTTCCGGATTTAATGTTGCGTTTTGTCTGATCTTATAGTGGACATGCCACGGTAGTGTGTACATGGGATCATTTAACTTCTCGAAAACCAGCCCTGAAATATAACAATAAAAATATGTTATCAGTTATTAATGATAAAAATATATACATGTATATAAAACATTAAGAAATTATACTGCTTTATAAGGTATTATAAACATTACATCACATGCTCTAGACAAAATAATTAAGTATGAAAAATAACAAAGAGCAATAACTCCAACATTATACAAAATAAAGTTGTAGTTCTTTTTCACTTCTTTATGAGATTTATCCACCAATTAAGTTTCATAACACTTATAACTTTTGAATTATGCAACAGTAAAAAGTAATATAAAAAAAATACAAAGAGTTATTAAACCAAAATTATGCAAAAAAAGAGTTGTGATTCGTGTGTACTATATTTTTGTAATAATATCTATTCATATATCATATATGAAGTTTCAAAATTGCAGGCAAATTGCTTAAGCAAAAGAGAGTTATTGTTCCCGAGTTATGCCTCATTTAAAATTTGCTTATCTATAAAGTTTAAGTTTCCATTCCTTGTTGAGATATGCTCTGTACAAAAAAAAATTTAAAAAAATATCCAAGGGCTCCAAATTATACACTTACCAACAAAATTATACAATTTTAAGGTGTGTTACATGTTCAAGCACATAAACATAATAACTCCAACATTTTAGCATTTGATAGTATTGCGGGCAATACAGTAGTCCCCTACCGGTCCCTCAAAAAGTTCTTTAATTGTCATACACTCCTGTGTATTGCCATTTATAATGAATTTGAGGATGAAGTCTGTATTTGAAAATATCAACCACAAAACATAATAAAATAAGTTTGTCTATATCACAGTAATGTGTTAAGTTTCCATGCTTAGTAAGGAAATTATGTTTATACAACCTTGTCATATTATTACGATGTGGGATTTTAAAGTAAATCCTATAAGGAATGAAGAAGTTGGAGTGAAAATACCAGTTTCTCGAAAAAAATCTAAGTTAAAGGGGGACATAATTCTGGAAATAGTCTTGCTAGAGTATTTAACCTTCTCAAAAATGTTGAATGATAATAAGAAACATATATATGACGTTTGAAGTAGATACATTAGGAAATAAAGAAGTTATTTAAAAAAGACAACATTTCAAGTTCAAGGGAGGTAAAACTGATAATTATTGTGCTAGAGTTGTAAACCTTGTCACATATGATGTGGTTGATGACCAAAAACTTATATTTAAAGTTTTAAGTAAACACCTTAAGAAAAAAAGAACTTATAGTTAAAAAAGCTGAAAAATTTAAATCACAAATCTTGAAATTCAGGCTATTTGTTGCCATAGCAACCAGAATTTTCAACGTAGGAAGAAAAGAAAAAGATGTGCATAATCTCCAGACTGCCATCTACCCATATTTCAAGTTTCATAAAAAATATTTTTAGTACTTTTTGAGTTATCACTGGATCCAGTTTATATGTTAATTTGCCATATTTTCAGACTATTTGTTAATATTTAAAAAAATCTAAGTTAAAGGGGGACATAATTCTGGAAATAGTCTTGCTAGAGTATTTAACCTTCTCAAAAATGTCGAGTGATAATAAGAAACATATATATGAAGTTTGAAGTAGATACATTAGGAAATAAAGAAGTTATTTAAAAAAGACAACATTTTTTCCCCTAAAAAATCTAAGTTCAAGGGAGGTAATACTGATATTTTTTGTGCTAGAGTTATAAACCTTGTCACATATGATGTGGTTGATGACCAGAAACTTATATTTAAAGTTTGAAGTAAACACCTTAAGAAATAAAGAACATATAGTGAAAAAGCTGAAAAATTTAAATCAGAAATCTTGAAATTCAGGCTATTTGTTGCCATAGCAACCAGAATTTTCAACATAGGAAGAAAAGAAAAAGATGTGCATAATCTCCAGACTGCCATCTACCCATATTTCAAGTTTCATAAAAATATTTTCAGTACTTTTTGAGTTATCACTGGATCCAGTTTATGTGTTAAATTTGCCATATTTTCAGACTATTTGTTGCCATAGCAACCAGAATTTTCAACATAGGAAGAAAAAAAAAAGACGTGCATAATCTCCATACTGCCATCTATCCATATATCAAGTTTCATGAAAATATTTTCAGTACTTTTTGCGTTATCGCGGGATCCAGTTTTGTGGACGGACGGACTGACGGACTGACAGACAGACAGACAGACAGACAGACGGACAGACAGACAGACGGACAGACGGACGGAGGGTAAACCTAAAGTCCCCTCCGGTTAAACCGGTAGGGGACTAATTATATGCAATAGATTTATTATTCTTAAGCAAGAAACAAAAAGATGTTTATCCATCTACATGTAGTTAGTTTCAAGGTGATACAACAAACAGTTTTTGAATTATGCTCTAGACAAATAAAACCCGGACATCTTTATGGATAGACTTACAAATTTAATGTGTGGAAATTATTATTCTGCATTCACAAACACAAATACATTTGTATTTGAAATTATAACTTGAGTCGGATGTGTCGCCTTGTTAACAGTATTAGTAGTCAGTTAGGCATTTTAAGGCAACATTAAAAGTGAATAACAAACCTGCCACAACGGTGACATTATCCTGGAACTGTCTGTTTAAGAAATAATATTCTAGTTCATCCTCAGTACTGAAGCTAGTGAACATGTTCATATCTACATCTTTCACCAGGTTTAGCCAAGTGCAGGCCATATTGTCCAGAAATGAGAATACTTGATACAATTTTGAAATTTCCTCCGTGTCTATTACAGCAAGGTCTCCACTCTGAAATATATTTTCCCAGCATTGTGTTTAACATTAATTTCAAGTTATGATTAAATGCCGTAGGAACAATGCTTAAATAAATCTGGAAAATGAAAGATTCCTTGAGAGCAATTAAAACTAAACAGGTGAGAAATGAAGACTTTGATTGAGATGAAGTATTAGGCACCATTTTACACTAATATCAAGTATGGGGCACCATTTTACACTGAGATAAAGTATGGGCATCATTTTACACTGAGATAAAGTATGGGCATCATTCAACATTGAGATAAAGTATGGGGCACCATTTTATAGCTAACAGTTAACAAATGCTTTTGTGAGTATAAGATTTTCGAAAAAGGGGAAAAGCAACAAAATAAAACTTCCACAATTTTGCAAAATTTACATATAGGGCTAGTTACCTGTAAAATATAAATCTGTTGACTAATATTCCCAGATATCTTCTGCCACTGTTCAGCATAATATGTTATATTACTGTACATTGCCATGCTTGAATTCACCTATAATAACAGATAGTTTCAGATTTTTACAATAATTAGCTCTCTTGACAAAACTGGCAGCCATTTGGGGGTCATTATTCAAAACATGTATAATTGATAAAATAATGAAAATATGTTCACAATCAAGTGAACTGTCAAATTTTTTATTAGGATATGATGAAATGTATTATTCAAACATCAATATCAACAAGATTTTTATCAGATAACTTGAAGACGACAGACTTGTGGGAGATTTTATCTTTTCTGAAGCATAACCAGTAAACTTTGCTTATATATATATACTCGGGGACCGCAAAATTTATGTATTAGTGGTATATTGTGGTATATTGTTATAAGCGGTATGTTGTTATAAGTGGTATATTGTTGTAAGTGGTATATTTTTATAAGCGGTAAATTGTTATAAGCTGTATATTGTTATAAGCGGTATATTGTTAGAAGTGGTATATTGGTGTAAGCGGTATATTGTTATAAGCAGTATATTGTTATAAGTGGTATATTGTTATAAGCGATAAGCGGTATATTGTTATAAGCGGTATATTGTTATAAGCGGTATATTGTTATAAGTATATATGTTATGAGCGGTATATTGTTATAAGCGGTATATTGTTATAAGCGGTATATTGGTATAAGCGGTATATTGTTATAAGCGGTAAATTGGTATAAGCGGTATATTGGTATAAGCGGTATATTGTTATAAGCGGTATATTGGTATAAGCAGTATATTGTTATAAGCGGTATATATTGTTATAAGCGGTATATTGTTATAAGCGGTATATTGTTATTAGCTGTATATTGTTATAAGTGGTATGTTGTTATAAGCGGTGTATTGTTTTTAGTGGTATATTGGTGTAAGCGGTATATTGTTATAAGTGGTATATTGTTATAAGCTTAATCTTGTTATAAGTGGTATATTGCTATAAGTAAACTGAAAGTAAAGAATCAAGTTAAAATATCGAAATCAAAATCTGTTTTTCATTAATTTTATACATCATATTAATTTGCAATAATACTGTTGCTATAAAAAGGTATTCCTATGTATATTGAGATATACTCTGGTACTCAGCCATTGTGCGGGGATGTACTATTCTCCGGTCTCTCCCGGTCTAGTTTGACCGGAATTTACGAGAGACCGGCCAATAGTATCATATTTACTGCCCTGGTCAGTGCCGGTCTTCTAAACATTATTAGATCTTTCTAGATAAGAAATGTGTTGATATAATTATATAAGAATAATAATAAAAATAATATACATTTCGTATACAGTGTGTTTCCTTTCAAATTAATTGTTTTTTATTATGTATTTTTTTTTTTTTTTTTTGTATTAATTATATATTTTTATCAAAGATAAAAATGTAAAAGTGTATAAATCACGGGAAATGACGTTATTTTATTTGAGCATAAAATATTATAAATGAAAAAGCATGTTAATTGTGTGTAAGTCTGTTAATTGGTTAATTTTATAGCGGTTTGTTTATTTTTTCATTATTTAATAAATTAGTCCAGCATTAATATCATAACGACTAATATAGATCAAAGAAAAAATTCCCGCCTGTAAATAGCGTCAAGCGTCAAGCAAATGATGACAATATCTAAAAAGATAAATTTTCAAATAAAAGAATTAAACAATTAAATATGTATTATTATCTTCATTGAGATCAAACAGTGAAACAAAATTAAATAGATATGTGCAACACAAGTTAAATATTGTAAATTTTTACTAAGTCAAGGGAATCATTCTAAAAATACTAAAAATATCCACACAAAAGTACCCAGGTGCACAACTACACATGCTGAGCAACATTCTTGTAAGGTTTCATGACTCTAGGTCAAATACTTTTTGAGTTAAAATCGACACAAGGTGAAAATTGCAAATTTTTACTAAGTCAAGGGCAATAACTCTAAAAATACTAATAATATTTACAAAAAAATTTCCAGGTCCACAACTACACAATCATGCTGAGCAACATTCTTGTAAGGTTTCATGACTCTAGGTCAAATACTTTTTGAGTTATGTGCGACACAAGTTGAATATTGCAAATTTTTACTAAGTCAAGGGCAATAACTCTATAGTGGGGGCACAAAAAAGCCCTGGAATTACACCTCTTAAAACTAGGGCTGGGGCGAGTATCCGAGTACTCTGATAATCACAAATCAAAATAAAAAATCGAGTACAAATATTCGTCAACCCAGAGATTGTGGATCGCGATCTTATTTGTTTATATAAATTCACTGTTTCTCACACTATTAAAGTCTCAAAAAATGCCAATTTAGTATGAATTATGCGATGTTTACTTAAATACAATTTGCCGAATAAAGACAGGAAGTAAACAAACAAATAGCATGATGCTGAGCTAGGAAGTCATTTAAAAGTTTCAAAAAAGGAATCACTTTATCATTATTGAGCACTATGTGTTTACATGAAAATAAATTAATATTTTTAGTATTCGCTGTTTATAGATTTATGATAACATGACATCTATCGAAGAAGGTTTTATCTTTAATAATCCAAAATTTGCGAAATTCTCAAGTTAAGTCAGCGTGATGTCTGCAACAATGGCTGAAAATGAGTTTCGCCAATATAAAATTCCACCAGCAAAATTTACTTCCAATGTTTTGAAAACATTTGTCTGTTCATGAATTTGTTGTGCCTGTAGTCAGTCAGTTCACCGTGGTATGTTTCACAAACGGCCTTTTCCCCTTTTTTTATTTAAATACCTAAGAATTATCAACTTGCTGGTGGAATTTTTTATATCGGCGCGACCCCTTTCGAAAAATCTTTAAACCTAGTGTATATTTGTATATAATGTTTAGTATAATAATTGTTTAAAGAAAATAAACATGTTTTCAGAACTTATATTCATGTTTTAATGGGTGTCTTGATAATAAAACATTTGTGGTTCGATTTGTAAATCGTAAGTGCTGAATCGTGGATCGGATCTGATCGTCACTTATCAGATGATCCACACCCCTACTTAAAACAAGGTAACTTTTCTACCCCCTAGACACTTTAAAGCAGCAGATTTATGCAAATTGTCATGAATGTTTGAAAATGTATTAAGTGTAGTGAACTGAGAAAAAAGATTTCACATACAACCCATGTTAATAACAAAAGAGGTCAAAATAACCCTAACTGCGTTAATAACACGGTAGAAGTATGGTGAAAAATAATGCAAATCAGTGGTAAATCACACAATATAACATAATTTAAACTATGTAATTCATTTTAATATCTCCCTATTTCCCTGAAAATTTATCTAAATGTACACATGTACTTACAATGAGTCAATGACTTGATTATATCATGAATAAAGCTTAAATTATTTAAATTGATAAAATTAAAGATACAGCAAAAAAACAAAATGAAACTCAATTAAACAAATTTCTTTTATTATAACTTCCCTCTTACGCGGACACTCAAATAAATTTGTCTTAAAGATTAAGGCAACAGGTAAAAAATCACATTATAATACAAAATCCAGTCCACTTACAAATGGAGGCAGAGTAAATATAAAAGGGAAGTAACTCATTAATATTTGGAAAAACTATCCGTTTAGGAAGTCTCTATATTAGTAAAATTTCAACCTGGTGTTGTTTTTCTCGAATACATTCACGTCATCGCCACAGAATGGCTGTAGAAAGGGTTAAATCCCCGCAGAGCTAGGGAAGTGGTTTCGGTGAGTTAAGTCCTGAAACGAAAGAAGAAAATACCATAAAATAGTTCTACAAATAGAAATCTACTTTATTTCTACAATTTTATCCCAAATGTAAGAACCATTTTAATGATTTTACACGTCTGATGTCTTGTTAATGTTGATTTTTGTCAAAGTAAGAATAAAATCCGCAAATAAATCATATAACGTAACAAGAGGGCCATGATGGCCCTGAGGTCGCTCACCTGTATATAGCCCCCCCCCCCCCATCACACACACAACCATAAGAAGATGTTGCCATGCTAAACATCTAAGCTCTAGCTCATTGGGCTTTTTAAAAGAAGATTTTTTTAAGTTATTACTATACACATATAGTTAAAAACAATGACACCCCTGGGGCGGGGCCAGTTTTGACCCCAGGGCTTTTATTTGAACAAACTTTGTAGACACTTACTAGAAGATGTTTTATGCTTAAGATCTAAACTCTAGCTAATTGGGTTTTTTCAAAGAAGATTTTAAGTTTTTGCTAAACACATATAAGGAAAATCAATGACCCCCGGGGCGGGGCCAATTTTGACCCCAGGGCTTTTATTTCAACAAACTTTGTAGACACTCACTAGAAGATGTTTCATGCTTAATATCTAAACTCTAGTATTTGGGTTTTTTCAAAGAAGATTTTTTAAGTGTTTGCTATACACATATAAGGAAAATCAATGACCCCCGGGGGGGGGGGGGGGGGGGGCAATTTTGACCCCAGGGCTTTTATTTGAACAAAATTGGTAGACACCTATTAGAACATGTTTGATGCTAAATATCTTAGCTCTAGCTCTTTGAGTTCTTTAAAAGAAGTTTTTTTAAGTTTTTACAATATGCATATAGGGAAAATCAATGACCCCCTGGGGCAGAGCCAATTTTGACCCCAAGGCTTTTATTTGAACAAACTTGGTAGACACCCATAAAAACATGTTTCATGCTAAACATCTAAGCTCTAGCTCATTGGGCTTTTTAAAAGAAGATTCTTTTAAGTTTTTACTATACACATATAGTTAAAAACAATGACACCCCTGGGGCGGGGCCAGTTTTGACCCCAGGGCTTTTATTTGAACAAACTTTGTAGACACTTACTAGAAGATGTTTCATGCTTAGTATCTAAACTCTAGCTATTTGGGTTTTTTCAAAGAAGATTTTAAGTTTTTGCTACACATATAAGGAAAATCTATGACCCCCGGGGCGGGGCCAATTTGACCCCAGAGCTTTTATTTGAACAAACTTGGTAGACACCTATTAGAACATGTTTGATGCTAAATATCTTAGCTCTAGCTCTTTGAGTTCTTTAAA